TGTACAGGGGAATTGTTTTTACGAAGATATCTCCTTGAGGTGAAGAGAAAGTTGTAGAGGCGTGCGCCAAGTGTGAGGACCAGGTCACTGGGTGAAGGGGTAACAACTCTTGTTTCCCACTGCTGTAGACTAAGCTGGAGATGATGGTCAGGGCCAAGGAGGGCAGCCAACCCGTTCAGCAGGATCTTAACGCACTGGGGTATGAGAGTAATGAGAGAGCAGTGGGTGAGCGGGTGGCAGCATGCCGCGTGGACGAGGTAGCTCAACAGGATGGAATTGTTCTGCTGCTAGATTTTCTTTTTAATATTTGCCATTTAACATGTTGCAGTTATACAAATTATATCCAGGCGTACCATTTTGTATATAATACTTTAAGGATTTCACTGATATTAGGATGCCAGTGTGAGAGTGACCCAGTAACACTGGAGTGAGTGGTGCATGACCAGTACCCTCCAGTCCTCATCCCACCAATTCCACCCTCACATGACCTCCCTCCAGCATCACCACACCTCTGGTTGCTACACCACCTCTCCCACTCCATCTCTAACACACATACTTGTCCTATCTTCATGCCCCCATTCCAGGAACCAACAGCAGCACCCCGACTGCTCACTTAACTTAGATGACCAAAAGCAGTACGTATAATTCTGCGATCACGTGCGTCCGTAGAAGAACTCTATTAAGGATCGGACATACGCATCCCTTTCATAGTCACGTGTTTGTAGGTGCTCCTGTACCCCACTTCCCTTCCACTGTGTAGTATGTGGCTTGCAGCTTATGGTAAAAACACTTGAACTTTTTATAGACTTCAGCCTTTTCGCTTTCTTCGTGGTTTTTGTAATTACGTGGGTACCTGCAGGGATCTCGGAGATTTTTTCGGAGAGTTTTTTAACATTGAGAATTTAACGGAATTTGTACTAATCCTGGTTATTTTAACTTGATGCTATAGTATTTATTTAGAGTTGTTTGTCTTAATCATGCGATTTTTTTATTGTTACTTTTACATTTGATGTTCCATTATCTAATTCTTCCGCTTTTATTCATAACTCATATATTATTGCTCTTGGAGTAATTTCAAAGCTCATCTGTGTAATTTTTATAGTTTCAAAGGGTAACTATTTCGGTCCCATTAATTACGCCCATTTTTGTCAGTAACTTTTCAGTTGCCCTTTTCTCCTTCATGATGCAGTCATATCTTGTATCTTTTTCTTGTTCTTCCAAGCCAAAAACAATCTGGTGTGTGTGAGTGTATGTGTGTCTGTTTGCGTGTCTGTGTGCCTGTGTTGGTACGTTCGTGCCTGTGGCTTGATGATGTAGATGACCTGTGAGTGCAGGCAACTTTTTGTATCCATTATTAGAAAGCAGCAAGAGAAGCGCATTACAACTGTGATAACCACCGCATCCTCCTCTTCCCCTTCCCCCAGAAATTAAATGAGAAGATTGAAGTGAAAACGGAAGAGCTAAAGATAACAGAAATTTTTTTTAAAACTTAAATAAGGGATCTAAGTTGTGCAATAGAAAAGCTGAAGGAAGGAAGGAGAAGGGTAAGGGTAGACCATAGTCAGGGGTTGTGGTGACTGGAGAAAGTGAAGGATGTGAGCAACTGACATATGCTCAACATATCAAGAGAGAAGGAGCAAGAATAGGAAGCACTAACGACAGAGAATGTAAGGGAATTGGATAGGTGAGGGTAGTGAGGATGTAGCCCGTCAACCTAACCACAAGCAACACAACAGTTCTGTAATTACGGTTAAATGTGTGGGTGTTGATGAGCCTTGAACAGTTGAAATGTGATTATTTTAAGTGTGCCACAAACCCTAAGTGAAAAAGTGACGTAGTTGTTAGGAGGATGGATTGAAGGATGATATAGAGTATTCGAGTTACAGTGCTCTCATGGTGTTTGGGTTACATGAATGGCAAGAACCTGAGGTGAGTACATAGGTAGTGTGCTCGTTTACACACGACGATGAATGTGACAAGACTACAGCACTCTAGTCTAATAAGATATGTTTTAGAGCATCTGTGAGCGGTATCTTAGTGGCTCGAGTTAATAAGAACTTAAACTTGGGTAAGGAAGTTAAAAAAAAAAAAAAAAAGATGATGAATTTCTTTATGTCATGAGACGGTAATAGGCGAAAGTGAAAACAGACTGTATGTAAATTATAAGTGTGTGATGAAATTTAAAGGTCTGGTAGAGAGAAGGGTTGTCTGAGTGATAAATAAAACTATAATCTGATTACATAAATAATTGACTTTTAAAATAGCCTTTAAGTAGATTTACAACGCACGGTAGACTCAAGCAGAAGTGAGCGTATAGCTATATTATGGCGCTCATGTTTAAAAATTAATAACATATAAACAGAATTTACATAAAAAGCAGAGAGATGAGCAGGAGAGCTGGAAACTCGGAAGAGGGTAAGCAGAAAGGCAATTTAAATAGACAAAGCAAACAGCAGAGCCAAACTACTTCTCTGGCACATAAGAAGGGAAATATCAGCAAAGGATCAGGTGATCAGGTTGAGGAATTATGATGGAGTACTCACAGTCTGTGATAATGGTGTATGCAAGAAATTCAAAAGAATAACGCAGTGTCGTCACATCTAAGAAAGAGGCCATTGTCATGTGAATAAAAGCACAGACGTCTTGTAAATTTTAAGAATCGAAACAAATGAGGAAATAATGCAGCTTATTAAGGAACTTGGTACATAAAAGGCACCAGATCACCACAGTTGCGTGTGCACCGACATGTTTGTGTGCGCAATTTCTCAATGTGTGTTTTAGACACGTTAACGTTCTCAAAATAAGACAAAACTTCATTGTGCCCGTTGACCAGAGAATAAACACAAAGAGTATAAGAGCCAGAAACACACAAGTCTAAGATTCATCTGCGTCATTGCAGTGTCACTGATGTCTGTTAGCAGGGATACTCTCCTAATACAGCCTGGCTACTCTGGACCTGACCTGCCTGGGGCGCTGCTAGGTCCTCCAGCATAATAATGGTCATTTTTCCCGTTCACCCTCCCTCCTGGCCTGCCCGTCCTTCACGTGTGCTGTTCTCTTGGCAAACTCATTCACCATGGTTTACTCATTTCCAGTGACTTACCCCTTCCTCATGGTTACCCCCTGCCATGGATCGGGTCACGAGGGCGTTGACATGGCTTATCTCTTTCCCTAGCTACTCCTTTCATCGTAACTTGCTTATTCTTCCTTGTATGATCTCTCACACTACCTGCCTGAGGAAGCAACAGTCATCTGGTGGAGCTAGGGAGGGGGAAGACATTTACATCACCTCAGGTCTTTCTTCATAATTTACAATCCTTAGCCCACAGATTAATTTTATTAGGTGCCTTTAAACAGTGTTGTCAAGGTGTCGTGTACATTTTGACACCATATTATATATCAGTATTACAGTTATGTGAATATTTGTTTCAGCATTTCCTTATCTTTATGAATATAAAAGGCAATTCTATTATTAGTCAGCTTTATGAAAGAATCTCTTATCATATATATATATATATATATATATATATATATATATATATATAATATATATATATATATATATATATATATATATATATATATATATATATATATATATATATATATCCCTCAGTGTTTTTCATTTTCCCCATTTCTACTATCATTGGTCACCATTAAATTCCCTCATCTTTTTCGTTATAGTTACTTCGTTAAAACCGTTTGATAAATTTGCTTTTGAATTACAAGTTTAATGTTTTTCATTTTTCTTCTGTTGTTTCTGACTTGTTTGAATCTTTGGTAAGTTTGTATTAAGATTTTCTGGTACTTATTTTCAAGATTTCTCTTCTTTTTGATGACTTTTTAGCAGCTTTTTTGAAGTATATTTTGTTTATTATGTGATTATGTATTTTGTCTATACGGTTTTCGTGTAATTTTTATTATGTTTGGTTTATTAAAAACGGTCTATTTTATAATCTAACTTATTTCCGTTATATTTTTATTTCCCTTATCTATATCATAATTTGTTAAATAAATCATTTCTTATAGTACAATAGATGATCACATTTTAAAGTATATTTATATATATCATGCTAATGAGGTCTTTTTCATTCCTTATGAACTTCAGAAAGTCATTGTTGATTTCTTTCACTTTTTTTTTTTTTTCATTTTTTTTTTATTGGGTGGACGGGTAAGCCATCGGAAGGCCTCTGTCATATGATGAGAAGCTCCAGTTTTCGGGTCATCGTATGACTAAGATCCACCTCAGAAAATACTTGTGTTTTACTTGCCGAAAGAGATCTCACAACTACCACTCTTCTCACTGACGATGCTTGTAGCTCGCAGTCTAACAATAACCACCACAACCTGGCTGATTATGAATGATTTCTGGGAATATATCACGTTCTCTCCTGAAGGAAGTTAAAGAGTTTGTTGATAATTTTCCTAATATTGTAAAGGGAGATTTTAAAACACACTGGGTCCTTTAGGGTTACGTAATCTTTAATATACTTAAATTAAAGTTTCCTTTGAAGATGTCATAAAAAAAAGCTTGAGATTAGCAATAGAGGGAAACATTTATACTTAAACTCCCTCTTTGAATTTAATTTTATAAAATTTATTTGCAATCTCGGTTTTTCATTTAAAATTGAATATACAAAAAAATTCTAAGATGTAAATTCATTTGAAATTTTAGATCACTGGGAATATTCTCTCCTTTCCCTTTCCCTCTCTCCCCCCCCCTAAGAAAACAGTTACCCGAAGGTATGTTTTTTTTATATGCGTATATAAGTATCATCCACTTTGCCTTCAATAAGATTGGCAAATCCGGTGAAATGAGACAAAAATACTTCATAGAAAACTGCAAAAAGATTAGGATCGTTGTTAGGCTTTTTTGTCATCACATTACGTCGCTACTAAGTCCACTCTATCCCGGCTCCAAGAGTCATATCGTGTGTGTGTGTGTGTGTGTGTGTGTGATAGATACAAGGTACAGATTACTTCATCTGGCAGATACTCACGTGTATCCTGTAGCAGCTCATGTCTGCTGCTGCCCTCGACGTCTTCTTCAGCTGTAGAAGAAATAACTCATTATAATCAGAAGTGAACATATTTGAGGTGCACTGCAACAAAAATCACAGTATCACTGTTTCATACATATTAATATTACATACATTTCATATCTTATTCAGGTATATCGTGAAGTTTAATACGTAAGAGGAATTTATATGTCGTATTGAGGTATTCTATTTAAGGCTTTTTAAAGAACAAAAAAGGCACAATATCGTGACTGGAACAATACACAAATAACCCGCACATAGGAGAGAGGAGCTTACGACGACGTTACGGTCCGACTTGGACCATTTACAAAATCACACTGTGAATTTGTAAATGGTCCTTCTTCTTCTTATGACCAGAGCTTTGGTAAGATGAGTAAGGAAGAAGGATGGGTAAGGATAGAAATATTAAATGGTCCAAGTCGGACAGAAAAGTCGTCGTAAGCTCCTCTCTCCTATCTGCGAGTTATTTGTGTATTGTTTAAGGCTCCTTCTTTGATTTGACAAGTCGTAAATTTTTTTTACTTTTCTGTTGGCATTGTTTTTGATCAAAATTACAATACTTATTAATTTTGTCCCTGTAATTTTGACCTGTTGATTCTTTAATAGATTTGGTGCACTGAGCGTTGTCCCTACTTTAGTGGGTGCTTGTATCAGATTTACGTAAATGACAAATTATGTAAATATGTGTGTAAATTTTTATTCTATTCATACTCTTATATTCACTTGACTTACTGGTATATTTACCCTTTATTCACACATGCCATTCTTAATTAATTTAAGTTTGTAGAAACGTTTATACTGATACTAGAGAAATATTGTAAACAACAGATTAAAAGATAACCGAAGAACGATAAAGGCAATCAGAGAAAGATAAATGTTATCATGGAGAGATGGAGGTAAATCAAGATACAGAAATAATCAAAGAGAGATATAATCAGAAAAAGATAATACTACAGGAGGTCCTCAAATAAATTAGTTTCATTATAACGTGCTCAGGGAGTCCGCCATATTTATTATTGCTTGTTGTTGAACAAGGTAGGAAGTGCTCATTACAATTTTCGCTTTGCAAACACTTATTCCTTGATTAAACCTTGTTGCAATGAGTGGTGAAGCTGTCCTGTGCACCCCTGATGTCTGTGGCCACAAAAAAAAAAAAAAAAAATGTGACAAAACCAGAAGTTTTAAAGAGGTTTGACGATGGACAGTGAGGTGTGGTAAAATTGGTTTTGTTATACGTCGTTAGGTTAATTAAAGTCGCAGTTTCCAAGAACCTGTCGACGACGTTAAGTGAGGGGGTTACTGTATTATCAGATTATCTTGGACTTCAAGATAATTACTTGGCGACAAACAATCCTTAAAATATGGAAAGATCATTAAACACCAGGAAGAGCTACGATTCTCTACACTGTTACTGCACTTTATACGTAAAGTGTATAGTACCCTATGTATCTGACAGTACAGTTGTTGCTTACCCATTGAAGGAAATTAATAATTTTTAGCAACGAGACGTGATGAAGTGAGCTCCATCACGTGACTAATACTCTCACCGTACGTCACAGGACCTAGTTTTGTGGAAAGAAAATAACCTCGGCACCTATTATCTAAATAATATAGTACTTGACCATACTAATTGAGAAGCCTGTGTAACAAGAATCTGAAATCAAGAGAGTAGTGTTAAAGTTTATGCAATAAATATGGTGTTGTGCCAGAGTGTGCACAATAAGGCTGATGTAGTGCCGGACTACACAGTAAGGCTGATTAACTGCTTGGATTTACATCAAGAAATATAAGTTCCTGAAGCACTGGGATTATACGACGATACTAATAGTTGTTAAGGTTTCATGTAGATTATGCGGGGGAAGCTATGGTCCTCCAAGATAGCCTTTGAACTTTAAACTTATATTCCCTTAAAAGACGTAGATTAGAAAAAATAGGATTGAAATGTACAAATGAGAATAACGAATAAAATTCTGAAAATACCTAATAAAGATTGAACACCTAATACTGGGTTCAAATTAGATTATTTTGGATTTAGAAAAACCCCGTTTGAAAGCAGTGTTGAAGATGTGTGGAACAAGCTACCAGTTAGAGACAAAGAGGCGAGCACTCTGGGTAGTTTTTACATGTTTTCGACAAATACATGAATTTTTTTTATTATGATGCTCTCAAAATTATTTAGAAATGATTCTATGGCCGTCACCCGTGACATGTGAATAAAGCTCTCACTGTACCTTCTGCGCTGTCCTGCGTTTCCCATGACTTGCTGATCAGTAAGTAAAAAGTTGTATGATGTATGTGCGGTGGCACAACATTGTACCACGATGATGACACAGAAACCTGGCAGCACTTGAGATAGATGCGTGAATACAGGATAATTATCCAGTCTGTGAATACCTCTTTGTGATTACTTCATCCCAGTTATGTACGTGGTGTTCTTTCTTCAGTGTTTAATTTGTCATTTTTTTTTTGTAATTTCCAGTGGTTGCATCATTTACTACCTCCTCTTATACCCCTTTCCATTGTTCTAACAATCTTCAAAGAAAAACTTTCCAGTATCTCTTTTCGCACGGCTTTTTTCTTAGTTTACAGCTGTGGCTTCTTGTTGGTGCTAAAACATCGTGTTTATTTCTTCGTATATTTTGTATTCTTTATCATTTATTAGGTGTGGACGGTAAATAGTAAATACTTTCTAAATAGTTGTTCATATCTTACAGTTTAAGTGTTTCGGCAAGAGTTTCATGTGCTGGATATTATAAATCATCAAATTAACAATACTAATTAGACGATGATGCTTACTTACCAAGCAAACTTTTGCTTTATGTAGCTGTTAGTTTATTCTTTTATAAATCAACAGTGACAAAAAATTTCAGTGTTATGAAACTAATATTTTGAAAGCTCCTTGGATAAGTAAATATGTACCATTATTTGATGTTATGTCACGGTCAGTTTTCATGACATGTTGACACAGTGGCATCACGATACCCCACGCTCTGTTAAACCTGCCTGTCACACTGATCTCTACTCTGATAGTTGTCGTAACCATGACACCATACTGTGTTCAACACTGCCTCCGTCACACTACTTGCTGTGTCGTTGCTGAGCAACGCTTATAATTATTAAAAGAGAACAATTGATGGCCGTCATACATAAGTGTTTGTGTGATAATCTATAATCGTTATAGCAGAGACTGATGGTCAACAAGTGAAAGATGATCAAGGTAAGAGAATTGTTAAATAAAGCGTAAAGGTTGAATTAAATATGGCGATAAGTAGGATAAGACTGGAGTACAGTAAGGTAAAACTGGAGAACAAGAAAGTAAGGCTTAATTAAGAACATCAAGGCTGAAGGAAAGTCTGGAGAACAGTAAGGTAAAAATAAAATACAGTATGGCTAGAAAAAAAGTCTGAAAAACAGTAAAACACGTCTGGAGGACAATTAAGGTTGGAAAACGAGGTAAGGCTGGAGAACAAGATAATACACTGGAAGAAAACAAGTTAAAAAGCACATTTGACAACTGTGACAATGGCCTGATAATTCATAAAATGAGGCCAACAGGTATAACATGAACAGTAGGAAAATGTACGTATGTTTAAATTTCTAACATACAGATCACGGTGGAGTAGTAAACAAAAAAAAAAGTTTCATGGTACTGCACTTTTTTATTTCATTAAGCCTACATTATGATCCTGGCACTTTCTTATTCTTAAAGCAGACAGATAAAAACATTATCTACACATCAGTAAAGTGTTTCAGCGGGCAGAGGAAAATAATATATTCAGAGTCTCAAAACTCCAGACCGTCGCGTTAGCCACTGGACCAGCTAACGATCTGGAGTTTTGAGACTCTGATCGCGGGTTCTATCCCCGCCCGTGGTATGGTTAATACATTCAGTGGTTACAAATATCAGCTGTTTACGTGTGGAAAGAACAAAGGTTTATCACTGAGCATAGGTTACAAAACACAGGCAAACCATCTCAGAAAGAAAGGAACTTGTGAAAGATCTAGGAATAATAATGTCCATTAACCTATCGTTTTCAGAACACAAGACAAATACAGCAATGACCAGGACAGTGATGAGGTGGATTATGAGAAGTTTTAAAGCATATTATACCAATAATGGTTCTACTCAAATTACTCGTGCTCTGACTTCTAAAATATTGTTATATGCTTACAGCTCTTTACAAGGTAGAGAAACCTTAGATACGAAAAATATAGAGATCATTTTCTTCTTGTATATAATAAAAAGTTAAATTAATGTGAACTCCTAAACTCAGTTGAAATGTAATCACTGGAACAGGCAAGAGAGAGAGAAATGTCTGAAGATATATATATATATATATGGAAGATACTCGAGAGTCAGGTCCCTAATCTGCACACTACCATAACAACTTACTAGCGTGAGAGATACGAAAGGAAATGCAGAATAGACCTGGTAAAAAACATTGATGCTATAGACTATTAGAAAACGCTGAGTCAACATCCGTGGCCCAGGAATGTAACATTATGCATTTTTTTACAACCAAATACAAGAAATATTCCCGCACAGTAATTAAAATTTTAAGAAAAAAAAAGGGAACAGTTCCTGCAACAAGTGCGCAGTCATTTTTTGATGGCATTGTAGGTTAACAGGCATTAGGAACCAACAGCCTGTTTGATCAAGCTGTCAACAGTGAAGTCTGGCCTCGGGCCGGGCTGCGAGCGTAGAATTCTGGAAACCTGTCTCAAGTATATCACAGGTAAGATATGGGCGATAATACAATGGATAAGGTGTCGGGTGTCATCGAGTTACCTGACACCTTATCCATTATATTATCACCCCTGCCTTACCTGTGATATACTTGAGACCGGTTTCCAGAGTTCTACGCTCGCAGCCCGGCCCGAGGCCAGATTTCATCTTGCATGGTGTGGTGGACTCAAGTCTCCCTTCACCTCCTAACACTGTGCTTCCTTCCTCTTTCTAGCCTCTCTCTCCCCCCCCCCCTCATCTTTTCCTTTCACTTGCCCTCCTCCTC